CAGTTATGTTACATACATACAAACAGTAATGCTCACTCACTCACTGAGTCATCTCATTCAGTCTGCAAACTTAATTGAAGAATTAGCTTTGAAATTGATGCTCACCTATTTACTTAGCCTTTCTGAAGTGACCTTAGTTTCCAACCCCTCTTACTTGGTGACCTATAATATAATTGTAATTCCCATGCATATTCTATATTCGAATTGCAGTACATTAAAGATTTTGATAAAAATGTTTTCCAAGCAATGTATGATTGACGGTCTTTTTAGGGTCATGATAATTCTGCCTTTACTGTTGACTGACCATAAGTGTTTATATATATCATTTTTTTTTTTTTTTTTTTTTTAAATTAATTTTCTATTGTTTTTGTTATATATATTTGTTTTGTTAGTGTTATGAAAACTACTTTTATATATATATTTTTTCTTTTTCTCCTCTGTTATTATTATTTCTGTTAATTCCTAGAGCCTGATAGAAAAACTTACAACATCACTACTATTAAAGTTAGTAAAATTATTTGAAATTCCAATAAACTTAAAAGATGAATTCTCTTTCCTTAACCAGTTTCTTTTATGTACCAACTTCCAAGTTAGTTAAATAAAATTAAAACAGTGTAGTGTGCCCATACACATGGGGGACACACGGACAGATGAGGATAAATGGACGGACACACACACACACACACACACACACACACACACACACACACACACACACACACACACACACACACACACACACACACACACACACACACACACACACAACACACACACACTATCACACTATCACACTATCACACACACTATCACACTATCACACTATCACACACACTATCACACACACTATCACACTATCACACACACACACACACACACACTCTCTCTCTCTCTCTCTCTCTCTCTCTCTCTCTCTCTCTCTCTCTCTCTCTCTCTCTCTCTCTCTCTCTCTCTCTCTCTCTCTCTCTCTCTCTCTCTCCTCTCTCTCTCTCTCTCTCTCTCTCTCTCTCTCTCTCTCTCTCTCTCTCTCTCTCTCTCTCTCTCTCTCTCTCTCTCTCTCTCTCTCTCAAACTCAGTTTGAATTAGCAGTCAGGTCCCTGTGGTACCCTTTTTGTTCTTCACTAAACCAAATGTTTCAGGTTATTTATACACTTTTGGTTATTTTATTAATTTTTTAATATAAAAGGAATTATGCTGATCAGATGACATCATCACTATAAGCAACAAAGGTTTGCTAATCTTAGTGCCAGAACTTAATCTTGTTTGTGTTGCTCTGTTTGTCAGGTGGAGTTATTCATGAAGTCTATCGTTTATATCAATTATGAAGTTGTTTCTATCTTGAAACTGAGGGCAGTTGTTAATTCTAAGCTTGCTCTCTAACTTGACCTGCGCTGTGTAGGATGACAGTGAAGGGTCAGATCTTGGATAAGTTACATATATTTATTATAAGGGCAATATAGATCTTAATATATATATATACTATATATATATATATATATACATATAGATATATATATATGATATATATATATATATATATATATATATACCATATATATATATATATATATATATATATATATATATATATATATATATATATCTATACATCATATACTATATAATATATCTGATATATATATAATACGTATATATATGTTATATAATCTTATATACATATATATAATAATAGGTTATATATTATATATATATACATATAGTTATACAATTATATATATACATATATATATACACATATTACATAATTATTATTATATACATATTATACATATATATACATTATATATACATATATATATAATAATACAGTTATATTATATATATATAAGTATATATATTTAATATATATTATATATACGGATATATATATTATAATATATACATATTATATAACATATATATACATATTTATATACATATAGTATTCATATTTATATAATATATACATATTATATACATAATATATACATATATATATATATATATATATATACATATATATATATATATATACGTATATCATATACATCTATATATATATATATATGATATATATATATATATATATATATATACATTATATATTATATTATCTATAATAATTATATAACTATAATATTAATATATAATTATATATAGTATACTATATAGACACTATTTATATTATATATATATATATATAATATATATATTATACATATATATATATATATATATATTATATATAATATATATATATTATATATACTATATATATAATAATATATATATATATGTGTGTATATGTTGTGTGTGTGCTGTATTCTGTGTGTGTCTGTGTGTGTGTGTGTGTGTATTTTCAAATATAGATATGTAATGAATATATATTATTATTTTTTCTTTTATAAGTATGTATAATATATATAATTATATATATGTATATATTTTATATTATAATATATATTATATGTTTATATTATACTATGTGTATATATATATATTATGTATATATATATGTATATATATATATATAATTATATATAATATATACTATATATTATATATATATATATATATATTATATATATTAATTATATATATATATATATATATCTATATATATATATAATATATATTATGTATTATGTATGTATGTATATGTGCTTTATATATGTATATATGTATTATTATTTCATGTGTATGTATGTATATATATATATTTTATATATAATTATATATATATATATATATATATATATATATATATATATATATATATATATATATATATATATATATATATAATATATGTGTGTGTGTGTGCGTATGAATATACATATACTCAATGTAACACAATGCTTATATTTTCTGTGTATATAATATCTGATGAAAGTATACATATTATCATGTAATCATGACTGCATACTTAAAAACAAGCTGTATAATTCTTGATGTATGCATTTATTTAAACTTGTCTAATTATATACTGTATAATTTAGAGAATGCAGATATTACCATACATGTAATGTCTATAGTGGACATATCTAAAATGGTGTTAATGATTCTGCTGTTAATTGTTCTTTGGCAATGACGATGCCATTTTCCAGCTATTTTGCCTAGCTCTGCCTTGCCGTCTTTATGATTCACATATGCTCCCCGTCAAACACAAGGCTAATCATTCATTGCTAAGGATGATCAGACATTTTTATTCTTCATAGTATTCTTTTTTCAGAGGTAGGCTGTAATATTGAATTGTAAAAGATTTTAGTAATGATTTTCCCATAGTATTACTCTCCCAGAAATATTGTTGAGATGTAGACCTTTCTATCCTGAATGTAGGTTATTTGTGAATTGACTATTCTGTATCATAACCACTGGCATTTTGATTTGCATGCTGATGGGTGTATATGCATATTTGTAAAATGCATCAGTGTTCATAGTTCACTGATTATGATCAATGTTTGCATATCTAGGATTTGCAACACATACTTACTCTTGTCAAAAGAATGTTTATTGTTACAGGAATGTTGATTATTGACTAAGGGAGAAATTTCCTTAACTTCAAGTTACCTTGATGCATGAGAATGTGGTTTTTGCATCAGATGACCTCTCCAGAAAGTGGATATGCTTCACTTAATAGTAAAGATACAAATTAAATATCTTGCCAGTGCAGTTTTTTATATATTATGAGTAATAATAAAACAGTGTAATGCTGTCTGAATTTTCAAGAGAGGTCACATTCTTTCAGTCCTCTATCCCACCCTCTGGGCTGTGAAGCCTTCAAGCCAGTCCCTCCCCAATAAGAATGACTCTCCTTCCCCCACTCCCCGCTCAGTACAGCAAATGTTGCCGTGTTTCCAGATGTTGAGATTGCCTCACGTTCCGGGTAGGTTTTGAAGGCAGAGGTAAGTACTTCTTATCTGGCCTTAGAGCGGGTAATTTACACTGTCCAAGACCAGTCCACAGGGCTCAGTATTCATAGAAATTGATTTTCAGTGTCCTGCTGCTGTTTAAGATATCAATAATTTCATTATAGTTTCGTCATGATTAATAAGCACATACCTTCACAAACACACTCACATGTATTAAAACTTGTACATACAAATACACACCAGCTCACAGATGTGCACACACATATATATGTGTATATTCAAGCACATGCTTCACAACACACACACACACACACACACACACACACACACACACACACACACACACACACACACACACCACACACACACACACACACACACACACACACACACACACACACACACACACACACACATACATACATACACAAACACAACCAACACACACACACTCACACATATAAATTTATATATATATATTGTATGTTTATTGGTAGGGATTTCAACAAAAGTATTTGAAGCTGACACTTTGTGAATTGTTTCAAAACTGTGAATGTAAATATTCATAATTACGTCAGGAACAATATTTGATAAATATGTGGAAGTAATTTACTGTTCATTATAATTAACAACTTAATTACTGTTTAACTTGCAGACAGTTCCAAACAGTGCAAATACTATGGGATATGTTTTTGAACAGCTCTACCTACAGTATTAACATCTTATGTATCTATATATTTAGCCAGTTTTACTTGACAAACTTTTAAATACAAAAGTGCCAGCTTGATATTTTGCTCCCAAATGATTCAGAACACCTTTTTGTAGATAAGTTTTATCATGGAATCAGTATGTCTAGTGTCATTCATTGTACTCAAGAAAGAAAATCATGAATTACATAAAGATTTTGCTTTTGCATTATATCAAGAATCTTTTTTTTTTGTACTTCTACCAGTTAGATGAAGTAGCAATAGGAGATGTTTGTGTTAAGGAGATACGGCACATCTCATGCCATGTAGAAGTACTTTTTGGAAATTGTATTATATAAGGCCTACTTAGTCTTTTCTGCAAACCAGCATAGACTAATAATCAGAGGCTGAACAGGGTTGTAATGGAATATTGGCTTTCCAG